GGGTCAAACCGCCCCCTCCTGCATTTCCTGCCAGGACAGCTACAGCTATCTTCTACATCCCTCTCCTTGTCTCTGACAGTGTCTTGGGATTCAGATGTGCCCTCCTGCTGCCTCTTTTCCTTGTATGAAATAAGGGAAAACTTAGGGTAATTAATGCTAGGATTCATGTATCTTCTTCGGTGAATATGTAGATACATAATGCTGCCAGTTAGCCATGACCAGGAGAATGTGACAACTACACGTTTGCATGGCAGCCTCATCCCGCTTCCGTCGTAGTATAAAAGAATCTCTCATAGTAACCACCCCAAAGAGACCCCCATCCATTTGACGTCATCAAAACAACCCCTGTTGGAATGGATTGAAGTCATTCCTGAAAGTCAGCTTCTAACTCACACCCAAGGTTAACGCTCAGAGGTTCCAGCAGAGCTGCTTCTGGAGTGCTGGGGCACAGTGTTGCCCCCCGTATTCCTGGTGAGTCTTGGCATATATTCGAGTTTGATGTTCAGGTAGTGACTCGGGCCTATGGCAATGGCCTGGTGCCATTCCCAAAACCGTAACAGCGGTAAGTTGGTGGCTTTAGCACATCTGAAGCGCTCTCTGTCCAACCTGCAAACAGAGCTCAGGCTGAAAAGCCAGCCTTTGATCCTAAGCTGTTTCTTGGGCTGCTTGGAGCATGGAAGTCAGACGGTTGTTAGAGTGGCTGCAGGTGAGCCACGTTTCCTGTGCTGCCTGCAAGGCCAACTCGGTCATTAGTTGCTTTTAATTAGTTGTGCTTTTGAACTCTGCCTTTCTCATGCCGGAAGGAGGAATGGCTTGTCCCTGTTGGAGTGGGAGGAAGACAATGTCTGTCTGCTGATTAATGGAAACTCCTGTCAAAAAAACCCCAATACAAGAGAACAGAATTATGGGCAGGGGAAGAGCAGAGGAGGGAGGGGAAACGAGTGGTGATGTGATACTTGTTGATGCATCATGCGGTATCAGTGTACTCTTCTTTTTGGACATAATTGACACTGAAATCAGCCTGGCCTTGTTGACCCAAACCCTCCAAAAAAGGGTTTTGCTGTATTTAAATCAATTAGTTGTGGAAAATGTGGAAGAACTAGTGACTCCTCTTCTCATGTGTATTCATGCAGAAAGACTGCTCGGTCTGAGCGGATTCACTCCTTGCTTTGTTCCTGTACAGAGCAAGCATAAAATTCCCAGGAGCATTCTCACTGTACAAGTGTGAACAACTAACCACCAAGGGAGGGAGACAGTGCAGGAATAAGCCCAAAGTTTGACCCCATGGAAGATGGCCCAAGCTTGCTTCACGCCCATGTAAAACAGTGTTTATTGGATAACACCTGAAATGCAAAGCCTTTTCCTCAGAATTCCTCTTGCTGCTTTAGGCTGTGCTTTGGGTGCAGTTTTGGAGGACAAGTTGCATTCCTGTACGTTAGCACACGCAAAAATGAGGTGCTGTAGGTGATGCAGTGTTGTCTTATGGGCATTACTTTACAGGGTACAAAGTGGTGGGTCAGCGGGGTTGGATTGC